TATATATAAAATAGATTTACTGAGTGTATTCTTATTGATATAAACTCATGCATTTAGTGCAAGATCCTACCAAATGTCACAGGTAATCCTTAGAAATATAAATTAGTGCCACATCACTAAAAATGTTTAGTTTTACTATATATGCATAGTTCAGTATGTAACTATGTGTTAGCACTATTAGCAGAAAATAATGGGAGCAGAAAATTGATCTCCTGTAACTTTATATTGTGAAACAACTTTTGACATAGAAAACTTGTTAGTGACCAGTTCAACAGTCTGGTTCATAAGTTGGGGTGGGGGTGGATTAAGTTCCAGGGAAGTCAGGGGTATTAGGAGTTGCCCACCCAAGGACAGACAGAAAGGTCTGTGATATATAAAAAAAATTCTGTGATACAATCAATGCTGTATAAAATCTTTTAAAATAAATGTAGAGTTATTAACCATACTGTCTAGATCTTTCCTGTTTTTACTTATCTACCTTTTCCTCACTCTTTATGTTTTAATTCACCTTCAAGAAGCCCTCTTCTATCTCTGTCACCACACTGCCTCCAAAGTCTGGCTTCAGTTGTCTCTTCTAGTTACTGTTCTTATCTTTGTACTTGGCACACGCTCTTACCGGAAAGCTATGTGAGGGCAAAGTTCTTTTTTGCCCACCTCCTTAGCCCAAAACACCTAGCACAGTGCCTCGCCCAAAGGTGCCTCTCAATGAATATTTGTTTGATAATTACATTTCAAAATAATTATAGGAGGCTACTGTTTTGGTCCCAGCTCCTGCACTGTGTCCCAACAGACCAAAAGAAAAACTGAAGTTACCCATACTAAAGTCACCAAACCAAACCTAAGTTGTTGTCTGACCTTCCAGGGTAACTGAGAGACAGAAATACACAAACTTGCCATGAAGGCTGGTTTCAATCAACATGGTAATGAAGGTCCCTCTCCTTCAATACTTACCCAAAAGAAATTACCTGAAGTAGTTGATGTTAACCAGTTACTCTATTATTCTATTTCTCTGTCCCCACCTTCTAGGGAAAATAACCTTAAAATGGCAGTCTGGTTTTTGTTCTTTATTGCTGCTTTCTTCGCCCTTGCCTGGCTAAAAGACCAATTTCTTCACTCAGCTTATTAGGCCATTTATTCTATTTTGTGGTATAAAATGTCCAATTGAGATCTTTAAATTTATTGTAATTTTGTCTTTTGATACATTTCATGAAAGTATATTGACTTTACTGTGGTCTTACCAAGCACTGGATTGGGTATTACTGTTTCAGGCACTTAGTTTCATGTAACAAGCACATGTGACCCGATTTTGCATAGCCAGTGTTTAAGAATAAATAGCTCAGTATTTGTGTGAGGCCGGACATGGGTAATTTTACAGACAGAGCCACTCAGGGTAAAGCTGTCTTTGGTAAAGTGATGCTTCTAGGAGGAGTTTTAAGAGCCCAGGGTTCTTTAATTGGATCGTGGTATACAGGTATTCCTCACTTAATAACCTACCTGCTTAAGGACATTTGCACTTACTACCGTGGGGTGCTGTTTGGACTTGGGATGCAGGAATGCCAGCGGCAATACAGCCTTGTGGTTCCTTTTCCTTTGGTATTCAGTTCTGTGCATGAAAACGCCACCGATTTCTGAGTGCATGTACTGTCCACAGTATACTGTCTACAGTGTGTTCGCAAAGATGAATTCAGCTGTGTTAGAACTAGAGGCTATGGGTCCAAATGTTGAGCAGTTCAAAAGTGGAATGGCAAATGAATAAACTTTTAGAATAGTATTGTGGAGTTTATGAAGCCACAAAAGAAAATGACAAAACAGACCACACTGACGGGGTTCTTCTTGAAAGCTACACCCTGGACCCCTACTAGTAGTTCTTCCATTTTTACTTCATCTCCTTTACCCATGGGCCTTCTACATCTCTTGATCGTGATTCCAATGATGACACTGATGAGGACTTTATTTAATCACTGTAGTGTTAGCTTGAATGCCTTTTTTTGTACAGTTCTGTACCTCGTTTGTACTTCAGTGTCTTTTTTTTGTACAAAACACCTTGTTTATATCATACTGTAATTTTTGCCGATTGCACTGTACTGTACAGTCCTGTAGTTTTATGTTCTGTTATACATTACAGCACTGTATGCAAGAGTTACTTAAATAAAGGGAGAGTCATCAAGTTGGGGTTTCCTTTGACCATTTCTTTGTTCTGAATATTGTAGTGTACACACTATGTGTAATTCTTCATTTAGCAACCAATTCATTTAACGACCTAATCGCAGGAATGGAACTCAGTCATTGAATGAGGAATGTCTGTATTTGATTTCTCCATTTGGCAAGTATTTATTGATCTCTAATAAAGTATAATCAAGTTGGCTCTTAATAAATACCTAGTGAGAATGAATTTGAAAGATGTTGTGGAAAAAAGTGGGATAGCCAGTTCAAAATAGAAATACCTTCAAATCCTCTGCTATGCCTTGTGGCAGAATACTTTTATGAGTCTGTTCTGTATGTTTTATTGGTATACATCCAATACCTCAATCAATACTATTATGTTTCTTGTTCTATAGAATATGATTTTTAAATACTAGCTGACTTACGTTAGAGAAACACTGCTTTTCTAATTTGACAAATAAGAGTAAATATATTCAGCATGAATCACTTGACAAATGACCTCATTATTCCACTTCTGTATAAAACCTAAACAAGCATAGGTCTCATCTAGGGGAAAAAATTGTTGTGCAAATATTTTAGACATTATTACACTTTATAAAGGTATGAGATTGTGATAGAAAAACTATACCACAAATCTGAAATGAGAAAAAATTCACCATTTGACAAACCCTACTTATCTAAGTATCAGCAATCAGCAGCACCTTAACAATGAAAAACCTGATAATATTACCAGTATAGCATTATTTAAAAACATGTCACTTTGTTGATAATCAGCCTGATAGGATATTTTTAAATGGGTGGCTAGAGTAGATAAATATCTTACATGAAAAACAGCTGTATTAAAGTAACTACTAACTGACTAGAAACTTGCATTTCTGTGGCTTTTAAATCCTATTCAACAGATTTCTTTGTTGTATCAACAAAACCATTTTTTTCTAGGCTGTGGTCAGACAGTAAAGAATGTTAGAGAAAAATGAGCAAAAGAATGGTGTTCATTATAATGGGATCCTACCCACTTATAAAAGTTTATTCACCATGACAAATTACTAAAGTTAATTAAACAGTTAAAGAGATCTTAATAAGAAGACAATTGTAAAGCGAGCTAGACCTTCCAGTTAAAAATAATATACTTTTGACCTGATTTTACTTAACCTGATTAAGTGAATTTTAGAAAAGGCTCTGAAAATCTTTGGATTTTTGGCTTGTTTGTTTCTCATTAACTTGCCTTAAAGTTACATGTATATTGACTTATAGAGTATTTCTTGGAAAATCTTATCACTGAACCAGTACAGAATGTGAATCACTTCTTGTCTGAAATGCAAGATTGATGTTTACAGGGCAG